TGCGCTAATTTTCCATCTGATGGGTATGAGTGAAGAAAAGACGCTGATCTAATTGTTCTGCAATAGATCTCTGACATCGACTGCATCTTCTGGCTGAGTCACAGATTCTTTTCCCTTACGATTTTTTCTAGGCCTTTTGGTTGATGATGAGACCATTTAACAATTTCTTCAACAAAACCATACATAAAAACATGCACAAGTTAAGTGATAATAAATTAAAGAATATTAATAATAACAACAATTAAAGACAAATCATTATTCCATAACCATAACCTTAACTTCAATATTGAACATGGATGAAGGAAACATGTAATAGTTTGAATGCAAAACATAACTACAAAGTAACCAAAACATTCTAACATTGACCACCCGCTATCATTTTACATAACTTGTTTCACCTCTTGTGTGGTGGAAGTCCCATTAACCTCTTTGTACAAGTGGGGTTTGAACATAAGAAATCATAACATTGATCGAGCAAGTTTTCATCAGAAATATTCATAGCACTCAACATTTCGTAAATGTCGCTCTCTGTGTATGTGTACGTGGAGGAGCGACGGAGTATTTGATTTCTGTCTTCCATTGCTGATACTTGACGCACAGCAGCATCAGAAATTACACCAAAGTGAACATTTGTTGAGCTGAGGACATCTGTGAAACCATCGAGGCTGGATTTCAACTTATCAAATTGTGCATCTATCGCATCGACCATAGGTGCCTTCCTTTTGGAACCTCGTGAGGATGAAGTTCCTCCAGATGGAACGGATGGCACAGACTGAGTCTGCCCTGGACTGTACTCATCCACGGATGGAGGAGGTGATGGTGGAGTTGGGTCTCTATAGTCATGATAGTTAGGCTCTTCAGGAATGTACTCCATATTCTGATTCAAATCAACATGTACACGAGGCCCAACCCGTTGACGACGCGCTTGACGAGCGGTCCGAACACCACTCCCAGTTGCTCGATCCGCAGCCCATAAATCGACCATTAAATCGTAGTGTCTTATGCTATTAACCCTCCACTTGGTTGCAGTTGGCCTTGACTGAAACAACACACATGACACAAATAGTGGTTGAAGTTATGTGTTTCAAGAATCTACGAAATCTTAATTTTTAACAAATACCTGGATGAGATCAGCCCACACTTTGTCCTCAACTTCAAATCTCATAGTAACGGCGTTCCATGCAAATCCACTCAATCCACCAAAGAGGTCATGAACCTCACGCCATCTGTCTTTCAATACCTTTTGACGATTTTTGACATTATTTTTAGTAACATTAACATAACCACAACTATGAAGGTATTGAACCATGTTATTATACGCTTGGGTTGTCCAACTACCATCAACCCTATTACCCAAACGACTCTCCTCAATCATAGAATGCAAAAGCTTAGCATCCATGTCCTCAGTCCATTTAACGAACTCTCTTGTAGCAGCAGATGACTCGATCATTTGTCCCTTACCCCTGTCCATATTTAACCTATTTGATAAAGAAAATTTATACAAGTGAAGTAGAGTTAATCATAAAACCAAGTACATGTCAAATTCAAAAAACACAGTCATAATAAAATGATATCAAATACAATACTATTAATGTTCATAATCTCGCCACATTTCATCAGCTATGGCATCCCTAATAGTTGTACCGACCCTATAATCATCTTCTCAAACTTGAGAAGATGTCACATTATGGTCTTCCCCTTCATTTAACTCATTATGAACCTCATTAAGCAATGGGTCATCCCTATCAACTCCACGGATAAAGTTGTGTAGGATACAACAAGCTAGAATGATGTCTGTCATTGTCTCCAATCCATAATGTGGTTCACTTCCACTGGCAATGATAGGAAACCTTTTCTTCAACACACCAAATGTTCTTTCTATAACATTTCTCAATGATGAATGTCTATGATTAAAGAGCTCGCGTGCATTTTGTGGTCCTGTGCGTGTGAATTCTTTAAGATGATATCTCACGCCTCTGTATGGTGTCAATACTGTACTTTTAAGCATAAAACCAGCGTCGCCAAGATAGTACTTTCCTACAATAATGCATAACATCAACATTTACTAATTAATAAACAACCAATCATAACATCCCAATGAAGACACTTACCTTGGGGGATGACGAACGGATCATCTCGATCGAGAGCATTTTTTAAGATTCTAGAATCAGATGCTGTTCCTTCCCACCCCGCTAGAACGTATGTGAATTTCATATCAAAGTCACATGCGGCAAACACATTTTGAGTTGGCCAATCTTTTCTTCCACGAAATCTTGGAGCATCTGTTCTTGGCACTCTTACACGAACATGAGTACCATCTATGGCCCCT